CAGCTCATTTTGCAGATTGGATGATGTACACGAAAATATTTGACCATCCACCCATATCAAAGGGTAGAGGCATAAAATTAGGTCATCTCAGCAAAAAGTGTTTTAACAGTTTTCGTGGAAAGGCAAATGATTTCCACTGTGGGTTTTTACACATTTAAAGGTAAGAATGCTCATTTAGGCTTGAGTTTTCTGAAGGATCCTAAAGAATATTCACCCGTTTGCACTTAGTTACCTCTAGATGAGGATCAGATTTATGCTCGTTTGGCTGCACCCAGTTCTCCCTTCCACACCTACACTGTGTAAGGATGGCCCCAGCACTTTGCTTGGAAAGGGAACCAGAGTGTAGAAATACTGGAATGGGGGTCGACTTGTCTGGAAAGTGCTACTGGATCTGTTTAATACAAGGTTGCTCTGCCTCTTGGCTGGTCTGGCATATATTACTCTGCTGCAATTGTCAAGGATAACAATCTATATGCATACTGTAAAAGCAGCTTATCCTTAGAAGCGACATCATTTAACCATCCTCAATTTTATGGTTGGAGCTTTCCAACCCAACTAAATTACATGGAATAAATGCTGCTGGATTTGTGATTTTCACAGGTGATATATTTGTGGTGACAACTGGAAGATATAATAATAGAAAAACTCACAATGAAAGTAAGGCAGAGTTTCTTTGTTTTTAAACTCCGAACACTTCTCTCACTTGGTAAAGGGATGCCCTTCTTCGAATCGTGGATTGACGCTAGTATATAGATGTTAGTAGACTTTGATTATGAATATCTGGACTCACGCACAAATCAAACTCAAGAGAAACGGGCTTGCAGTTTCAAATCGCCCAACACGGTTGATAGGTTGAATCGAGTTGGTCCTCCAATTCTTTCATAAAAAGCCAGAAATTTGTGGTGCATAACCAGAATTGTGTTCTCGTAGACATATAGGTTCCTCGGTACCAGGCCCTTCCTCCACAAATCCTTTAGTAGGATCCATCCTCAACAAGTAAGATTTTGAATTGTCTGCAGTTGCCACAAAGAAGGACTTTGCGGAAGCTCAGCTAAAGCTTAACGAACCTACATGGATCGCATTCGCGTTTCTATCCGCAAACTTCCGAGGCTTTGGAGATTGCTAATCTGTATGATAGAAAAGCAAAAGACACAACTTAGCAACATCTTCGCAGCAGTTACATTCTGATTTCCAGGGCCCAGGATCTTGTCAACCTATGGCAATATGGAGATGGGATGTCAATCACGGAAACGTCACCAACAGTTCTTACTTTTGGACAGGAATGAGTGCCCCATGCCATGGCAGCGGCCTAAAGATGAGTATACGCAACAAAAAGAGTTTCAAGTACCTGTGCTTCTCTTTCTTAGCGCAATATAAAACTTCCTTTGCTCCATCAAGCTTGAAAACTTTTCGTGGAAAGAAAAACAAACACATACCGGCTTCGATCGACAATCGTCTCACATCCGGCAATACCTGCGGGCTATTAGTCTCGCAGCTTTAAGAAGAAAGATCAGTGAAAGACATGACGTACCACTGCTAGCATGAGCGCTGTTTTCAGGAACGTAAAGGCCGACGGCGTCAATACTCCTCGCCACTCGCCGGCATTCAACTCCCTGGGTGGCAAACAACCGAGGAGTTGGCATTTATCACACATGCTCCAAGTTACCGGACTCGGATACTTCAAGCTGTTTTCCGCTGTGCGAGATGAAATTTATAGATGTTGTCAAAGGCCACATCAAAGGCAGCTTGGACATCTGGATCGAGCTGCCAAAACGTGAATGAGATCGGACTTTCTTTGCGGTTGCAGAAAGATAGATCGAAAAGTTATACCTTTGGATCTGGAAGGTCGGACATTCTTTCGACAATGTTGTCTTCCATAGAATTTCTTGGTGTATCTGCAAAGCTCGCCAGCGAGATGGTCTTAAAGGCACAAGAAAAGCAGCTTCATCGCCAGAAAATCTCATTTCAACTTTTGAAAGAAAAACTTGAAACGAGATTTTCTTCCTCAAGTGTGATTTCTTTCTCACTGTTTTTAAAATGGAGCCCTTCATAGAATTTCCCGCTCAAATATCGCCGCTGCTATTCGCCCACCTCGCATTCTCGATCAGCGGTTGAGCAGTCATATTATTAGGGTTTTCCGCAGGGTTTTATTAGGTCAGCCAGGCATGGCGGAGGAGGAAGAGGATCCGTGGAGCGATGGCGATGGCGATGGTGGTGAAGGCCCTCGAGAATCCGAATGGCAGAGCAGGAATTTCCACACGGTAGTGTCACTCTTCCTTCGATTCGCTCGAGTTTCCGTTTGATCGAGCGCAGATTTTCTAGCTCGGATACCGCGATGGTCTCTTTGCTGGGAAAGAATCGTCGGCACAGAAGGGGTTCGACGCTGGATTCAAGGAGTCGGCTCCAGCCGGATTCGATTGGGGGATTGCGAGAGGCATTACAAGGTCTTTTGGATCTTTGCTTTTCTTCTTCTAGAGATTGTAACAACTTTGGTGTTTGTAGTGCTTTTGCGGCATTGTCACCGAGGCATCAAGAGTTGCTGGCTCCGGACAAGAATGCGCGCGACGATCTAAAGTCTCTGCGCGATTCCATCTCCGGTATTTCCTCCAACGATGCTTTGGCCTCGTACCACAGCCACCAAGTCCTACGAGACGAAACCTCCACCGTGGCTGACGTTGGTGTCTTGAGCTCTCAAGCCAAAGCAGCGGCAGACAAAGCTTCCATCGCCTACGATGCTCTTCTACAAAATAGTCGATCCAACAATCTCAGGTAAAAGCTTCTCAAGCCTGATCCCTTTATCGCTAAAGTAGCCAACTTCAGCATGACGGAAGTTCCAAGAAGTTGACAGAACGAGATGGACACAAACATATTTGCGAAAAGTCTCGACGATCCGACACGAAAAGTAGCTAGGAAAGTTTCTCAAGACTTGAGTGGTTTTGGTGGACGAGAAGGCTGTTTTCGTGGACTTTTAGGTGGTTTTCTTCGGTGCGAAGAAGCTGGCTGCCATTCGCAAAGCTGGATTCCCCGGCAGCCACGCTGCTTGCCGCGAAGAAACTATTTTTTGGAATTCCAAGTCTTTGTGCGGTGGCAACAGTGGACGCCGTGCTCATCGACACCAACACCGTCAACAGTGAAAGAAGCCTGGCGATGCTCCTCTTTCCAAAGTACGAGCCAAGTCGACAAGGAATGTGTCGCGCACTTGCGCGGGTCAAACAACGCACGGGGACCTTTGACACGGAGGACGGATCTTTGGCTTTGGACCGGGCTCCAACACAAGCAGTGTCGGGACTCGCCGAGTTCCCGTGCCGGCATCTTTGAACGGATCAAATCCATATCCAAAGCCCAGCCTCTTCCTTTTCTCGTCATTATCATAAAGGAAAAAAGAGAGAAGCAGAAAGATCTGATAGATAGCTCCTGGCTAACATTCGCTTGTATAAGAGCACTTTCGCGCGCGCTGGGCGAGGCCGACGTGGCGGCGGGCTTTCCACGCGTGCGGCCACGTCGGCATAAAGGCGGAAAGCGCGCGGCGCGAGTCAATGAATGCGAGATGCTTCGTCGCGTGGACGCCGACGGCGACATATCTATCTATCTATCTCTGACACGTCACTTGGCCGCCCCGTAGTACGTGGACGTGTTCTCCTCCCTCCCTTTTGTTGCGTTGCGGGCTCCCGAGATTCGGATTACCTGGCTGTGGCTTGCCTGTCGTCCACGTCAGGCGATATGGCCATCCATCCCATCATCCGGCCCCCATGCGCCCATTGGTCTAGCGTGGCCTCGGCAAAAACGGTTGATGTGGATGATACTGCGCGCCAAAAGTCAGAATGTAAAACGTGCTCGATCGCATTTCATGCAGTGACGTGAAGCGCCAACTTTTTTTTTTTTGGACCCATTTCTTTCCCTTGCGGCCGTACACTATTGGCATCTCAATCAAAGCAGTTGGTCACAACCATATCGCGACCAAAAACCCCCCCCAAGAGAGAATTAGAAACGAGTTTTTGGCCACAAGAAAAAAATGAGACAAAATGTTTTGGTCATGCGCTTTTTTCGTTGCGTAGCGCCCGAAGTCTAGATGCCCGGTGGACCAGGTGATGCATTGTTTTTTTTTCCCTGTGATGTGTGTGTGGTGTTCTAGAAGCCCGCAAGGCGAGAGGGGAGACCCCGCGTCTATTCTTTGCGAGCGTTGAGCTTCAAAGCAGTTGCCTGTGGGTGGGATTTTGGGCAAAATCAATTCAAGCCAATCGAGATTGACACCGGGCACCGCCTTTATCTGTGTCAACAAGCCCCATCTGGAAAATGGCACCAACCCTTTTTCCCCTTTCAAAGCTTTTGTGTGGCCGCGTACCACAAGCCCGAAAATGCTGCATGCGCCTCTCTTTCACACGGCAAAAACTACCAAGGATTAGATCCATAGGTCACTGAATCTCGTTTCTTTTAAGATGAGATAGGATTAGATAAGGTTAAAGATCACGCCCATGACGTGTGGAGCGAGTGAATGGCCGCCACCTCCGCCACCTTGAATCCCCCATTATAAATTTACAGCCAGCCCGTGTGTACTCTCCAACGCGGAGGAGTTTAAACAAAGAATATCCCGGGAAATATATTGCTGTGTCAGTCAAGGAGCTCTCTCTCTCAAGCAACGAGAAAGAAAAGAAAAGCCTCCCCCAACTCAAAAGCAAACCTAAAAGCTTATCCTCTTATCCTAAAACCGCCAGCCCGGCAGCAAGCAAATGGGGGGATGAGATCACAGCCAAGATCCCCATCGCGCATCCCCATCCCATCCCATACCACCACACTACCCATTGGATAAGGCCCCCCCGGGCGTTTTTTAAAATCCCGCGCACCGACGGCCAGGATCTCCCCTGCCCCGGAATGCCCGGCACATCCGACGGCCGCGATGCGCCCCCGGAATGTCGTGCAAGCCAAGGCCCCCAAATGCTTCGAGCTTATCCAGTGGGCTTGTGAGATCAGACTGACTGGAAAACAAGCCTATCCGCATCATCGTAGGTACGTTAAGTAAAAAAGCCAGGATTTTTACCCGCGGGGGAGGTAAAAAACCGACACCCACGCCTCTATCTCTTGTGGGGGGAAAGAGGAAAACAATAAAATTAAAACCTCGTTCGTTGGTCTGGGGGGTCCGTGTTATATCATCCACAGCGTGGTAGTGAGATTCGCCCTAAGCGCGGTGTGGACGAAGAAGAGGAGGAGCTCGTAGCGTTCTCTCCAATCTTCGCCTTTTTATCTCTTCTTGCCCGCCCTCTGTGAGAGTTCTTCGGTTGGAAGGAAGAGGATCTAATCTCGAGTGGGAGCTCCCGCCGGGCGTTGGTTGTATTCGGCGAAGCTTGGGGGATAAGAGGGAATCCACGCTTTGATACCTTCGTTCTCCTCTGGCGGTAGATGATCCTCCAGCCCAGCGCGCGCATTCGCATTCCAGTGGCGATTTGGGCGGGATTGGAGATGGAGAGCGGCAGCGATCGGTCGCCAGTGGAGGAGAAGAGTAATCCGCGGGATCATCACCATCCCCAGCACCAGCTAGGGAAGCTCCAGATGCTGCCGGCATTGCCAAGGATTGTGCTGGTTGTGGAGTCGATTGGAGATTTCCAGGCGCGGCACGGCGGCGATGGGGGCGATTCCTCCTCTTCCCCTCGCTGCTCCTCCACGTCCACCTCCTCCATCGGCGCCTCCGATTTGGGCGAGAATGTGGATGAGAGCAATGAGGTGGAAAGCCCCCTGCGCGATTCGTCCTCGTCGGGGCCCCTGGAGCGCATGGAGACGCTGGAATCCTCGCTGCCGCTCAAGTAAGCAGTGTTCTTCCCCCATTTCATTTTCCTTGCTCTTCCAAGAAGCTCTCTCCTCATTCTTTGTCTCTTCGCGCGATTCCAGGCGAGGATTGTCGCAGTTCTTCGATGGCAAGTCGAGATCTTTCACATCGCTCAAGGAGGTGGCGTCGGCAGCATCGGCGACGCAGCTGCGCAAGCCCGAGTACCCATTCAAGCGGCGGAAGATGGTGATGCACAGCCAGATGCGCAGCCGCGCCAAATCCTCCTCCAATCTCCGCAAGATGCTGGGCCGCGCCGGGGGCGAGGCGTGGTCGCCACCGAGATTCGTCAGCGTCAGCTCCTTCCTACCCAGATCTTTCTCGCTCTCCAACATCGTCCACCAAAACGTTTAGGGTTCTTGGCGGGATGGAGAATACTCACACACACACACACACACACACACACAAAGCAAATGCGCTGGTACTCTTTCAAACGTAGCGGTGGACAGCCTCAATTTTGGAAACTTCTCTCTTTCATCTCTTTCCTCTTCCTCTCTTCTTGTACAAATACCAAAGCATTTCCATTCTCTCTTTTCTTTGTTCTTGGAGAGTTCTTTGTGAGAGTTCTTTGTGATTAGGCTCTTGGTGGAGTTCTTTTCGTATCATCTTATCGACCAAAGCTCATCGCTTGTCATCGTTTCGCGAGCGTTCTCTGGGTGAAAAACTTGGTTTTGCGCGTTTTTTTTTTATTCTCTGTTTTTCCGTAGATTTCGAGCACCAAATCCGATCCTGCTGCCCCTCCCCGGAAGAACGAACTGTAGCATAGCAGCAGCCAACATCACGCAGAATCCAGAGTGCCTTGGAGGGCCTACTCCTCCACAGCACACAAATCACACTATAAACACCGCTGCGCGGCTATGCCTCGGGAGAACAAACTCGGCTCCTTTTCCCCGCTTCTTTTCTTTCTTTTTCTCGCTCTTCCTGGGTCGATGAGAGGAGTCCCTGGAAAGAGAAGGATGATACAGAAAAATACAAATAAAGTAACGTAGAAAGGAAATCTCGTACCTCGCTTGCGATGATAACATCCGAATCAGTTGCTGTGGTTTTTGTCTGAAAGGCTCTGTGTTCTGGAAACTTTTCCCTGCTTGTCTCCTGTTCCCGGCTGCTGGCGCTGTTAACGGAGAACACTTTCGCTTTAAAGCCTTTCTTCTTGTTCTTTCGAGTCAGCAGCAGCGGCAACAGTGGCAACGGCAGCAGCGGCGTTTTGTTTCTCCTTCAAGATTGATGGCTGGAGCGACCTGCGGCAGAAGTGAGCTCAATGAGAGATGCCGCGGACAGCAATGGCGACGACCACGAGGCCGGAAACCAGAAAATCCAAAGAGCATGACGGTTACCTTCAGCTGAAGTGACGACTGTGTTTTTCTTCTCGTCGAGTAGCAAATGGCCTGTAAATAGAACGGAAACCGCAAGAAGCAAAATGGCTCAAACTTATTCCATTTCTCGAAAGCATCGAGCTATAAAAGAATAATTTTTCGTCTTTGGCAGTTAATCCAAACCTTGTGCGAGAGTATTAAAATCCGTAACACACCAGTCAGCTCCAGCTGCAACGTTGGGACGCATTTGGACGCCTGCGAAGCAGATGAAAATATCCGCACCACCGGGCATTCGCGCCTATAAATTTTCACAGTTAAGACAGGTGATCTGGTACTAGAACGACGTAAAACTCACCTCAAGATCCGTAGCTCCATCTCCGATCATGACCATTCTCTTGTAGCCATGCTGCTGTTATAACGAACGGCAAATATCAGCATAACCGCAAAATAGTGTAGAAAAATGCACGCAAACCTTTTTTATCAGAGCAATGGCAGTAGCTTTACCACCACTCCGTGACGTCGGCTCGTCCTCGTCAAAGCCATCAAATCCTCCGGCGTCATCAAACACCAACCGGTTCGCAAAAATGTTTTCTTTAGGAATGCCCAGAAGCACTGCTGCAGGCTGTGCGCACGCACACACGAGCACACGCAAAGTTCTAGTTCAAAGGACCCAGAGTTTTATAGCACGCGCAGTACCTCGATCATCTGCCTGAAACCTCCAGATACCAGGTATACTTGCGTGCCTCTCGAGTGGACCTTTTCCACGAGCTCCCGTATTCCTGGCGTCAGTCTATTATATGTAGCACACATAGAGCTCAGAGTCGAGAACTAAAATTCCTTACTTTGGCGGATGGCTGGTCAGGTACTGGTTCACGACGGACAGAGACGGTCGAAACAATCCTAGCCTTGCAGCTAGTGCTTGTTGAAAAGTCACAGTTCCGCCCATAGCTCTGAAAGAAAGATACTTAAGTCACAAGAGTACGCAAAAGTTCTTTTCTATTTTTCTTTCTTTCTTACTTGGCAGTCCAGGACGCAACAGCTTCTCCGGCCCCGCAGTAGCTGGCCAATTCATCTATCCCCTCGTCAACGCAGACTGTGCTATCCACATCGAAGCACACGGCCTCGGCAGTTCTCCACAATTCGAGCACATCTACGCATTTTTATTTTTTTAATTTTGTTCTCAAGAGATTGAGTGAAAGAATCAGTAGAAAAGAGGGCATACCTCTAGATGGAGCAACAATGGGCTGCATTGTCGAATCCACAGCTCCTGCTGCCAAGATCGTCCATCGGCCTTTCGACGGCAAAATTTGCTGCCTCTGCCTCAAACTCACAGCAGATCCGGCCTGGAAGAGCTTGAATCGCAGCGGCGGCTGCGCGGAAGACGTGTTTGGCAGCCGATTCGCCGGGTGCGCGAGCCGCACCATGGCACCCAGCTCCATGATCTAAGCCCCAACATCGTAAACCCTAAACTCATACAGCGCTTTAAGAGAATCTTTTACATCGTAGCGAAAGAATATCCTATATTCAGGTGTGGAGGTAATTTGCCGCCATCAAGAGCTCCAGCGTCATCTCGGGCTCGATATGGAACTCGGTCTCTTTTCCACTGCAAGGAAGAACAACGAAGAAAAAATCCAAGCATTGTGGCAATCGATCGATCAATCGCTTCGCTCACCTCGCAAATTGCAATGACCAGTAGAAGTACTGGCACACTTTCTCGAGAATCGGCGTGCTGATCTCTGGAAATCTGACCTCTCCCAATTCGGTCTCGGTAAAGCTCCCTAGAACGCCGAGAATCTCAGAGAGGAATTTTCAGTGAATCTCCCGAGGGCTACCTGCGGATGTGAGCATGTTCTTGAGCGTGTTCGACACGAGCGCGGCCTTTCGATCGATGATGAACTCGAATCCCTCGGCGCTGATGAGCGTCACCGTGTCTTCCTTCCTCACCATGGCAAAAGACCTCTCCTTCTCCACAAACCCTAGCGAAGAGCCCTAAAAAAGCTTTTGGAGTATGGTAGGGGAGATCTTTGGATCGATTGATCTATCGATCTAATGCGCTCGCCGGATCTTTGCAGTCGGCGCTCTTCAACTTCCAATCGTTCCTCACAGTGGCGCTCCTGGTGATCTGTACGTGCACATTCGTCAAGCTCCAGTTCCCGAGCTTCATGAATCGCAAGACTGGGTACGCGGCATTTTTCCATTTCCTGGCTTTGATCTCTAGATCCGACGCTCGAGCTACACAGATTTCGAGGAGTTTTCTGGAAAGCTGCTCGGATCGGGGAGCGATTGAGCCCTTGGGTAGCAGCAGCGTGTCTGGTAATGGGATTATACATGCTAGTCTTTTAGATGAAATTTATTTCTTTGGAGCAAAGCTAGAACACCTTAAAGATTTCCAGCCGAGGATTTTCACAAGAACTTCCTTCTATCAGGTATCAAACTCTTGTTCTTCTCCATCCTATCGGGAACAAACTCTTCTTTCAGCTTGCCTCCGAGATTTTCACTCCGGATGAGACTGTGGCTTGATCAAGCCCGTGAAGAGCGTCGATAAGTTGGAGCCGGAGAGAGGCCGGGCCGCTTGCCTTGCTCATGCCGATCTCTCCGGCCAGGCCGAAGAGCGCTAGAGCAAACGCGCAAGCCTCTAGGTGCTGCTCGCGGGGGTAGACCGCTGCAAACGCCGCGATGAGAGCCGTGACCGAGCAGCCAGACGCAGTGATCTTCTGGAGCATCGGCACTCCATTGCTCACGCTCACCACTCTCGTCCCGTCCGTGACCAAGTCCACCGCTCCAGAGACCGCGACGACGCAGTGATACTTCTCCGCCAGCGATTTTGCTGCTCCGAGAGCCTGGGACGGATCATGGGCACTGTCCACTCCCTGTGCATTGATCGAACGAAGAGAAAAAACGATTTTTCAGAAGAAGAACCGGAGATGGTACCTTGGTGGGCGGAAGATTTGACGCTCTGGACAGCGCAAGGATCTCGGAAGCATTGCCTCTCACGATCGAGGGGCCGAGAGCGAGGAGCTCGATGCAGGCCGAGGTTCGAAAGCTGGTGGCGCCGGCGGCGACGGGATCCAGGACCCAAGGCTTGTTGAGTTGCCGAGCTCTCGCTCCAGCGGCCTTCATCGACGCGAGCCACTCGGGCGAGAGGGTGCCAGCGTTGATGCACAGAGCGTCGGCTATGGCGACGAACTCGTCGATCTCGTCGATGGCGTGCGCCATCGCCGGGGATGCTCCGGCGGCGAGAAGCGTGTTGGCCATGAAATCCATGGACACGAAGTTCGTGATGCACTGGACGAGTGGATTTGCGTCCCTCATCTTGGCCAGCGCCTCCCACGCCATCTCCCTGGAGCTCTGGAAGGAACCCACTGCGAGGAACTAAGAAGAGAAGAAAAATACCTCGTTTCCTCGATCACGATGTTACTATGGTTTTTGCCAGCGTTCTAGCTTTAGCCAGGAAGTTGAAAGACCTGGAAGTGGTATAGATCACAAGAATCACAGTGGAAGATTGAGGCCTTTGCCGACTTCAATCCCAAAAGTTTGCAAAATGCCTCTTCCCAGGATCTATCACGAAGAACACTAGCGTAAATTCTCGAGTTAGAGAGAAAAAAACGAAGTTACCAGTTCCACGAGCGTCATTCCGACAATGCCCAGCATCGCAGTACGAGCATTCCACAACTCGGCCGTGCTTGTGAATCCCCAGAACGCCACTGGAAGCTTGGGATTCTCTTTAGGAAGATCTATCTGCAAGAACGATCCAGGCCAGAATCAAAAGCCTCCAAGGGAGAGAGAGCACTCACTCCTTTCAGCTTGGGAGAAGCCGCACGAACACACGGCATGGAGCGGCTGCCACGAACGCCATAGCTGTGAGGAACGCCATAGCTGCGCAGCTGGAAGAATTTCATGGGAGCGTTCTGCCGGATAAGAGAATACCGACCTTGGATTGCCGCGACGAGAGACCAGCGCGCTTCCAAACAAGCTGGTTGGCGCGATGGCCGCCATCGCCATTTCTTCTCCGCCACACACAGCCTATCCCCCCCGCTCTAGCTGGAGGAATTAGGTTTGGAAAGTTTGCTTTAGTCCATGGAGTTTGGCCGGGCATTAGAAAGAGTGGAGAAGAACGAGCCCTGGAAGAAAGGTGGCGCCTTTACCAGAGAAAAACGAGGGCAAGCATGGCGTTGCTAACCGTTGAAGCATCTGCCACGTGGCGCGACCGTGGCCGCCGATTGGTGCTCGATGATGGTAGCGAGAAAGAAAGTCTCCATGGAGAGAAAGAGCTACAGCGCCATGGAAGGGCGTGTAGGCTAGGTTGAATCCTTGTTCCATTTCATGCTTGGGGGGATTTTCTCGTGGTATCGATGGCGCATTCTATGGCGCCTCATGGAGCCGCTTCGCTTGTCGCTGGAAGGAGGAAGAGGCGGAGCTCCTGCTAGGGTGTAGGGTTTTACTAGGGCTCCTTCGCTCCAGTGCCTCCGCGCCATCGCCACGGCGAAATCCTCCTCGGCTGGTCTGTGATTTTTCTATATTTCTCCCCTTCTCTCGCTCGATCGGAGGAAGATTATGGCTCGCGGCGATGGCGTGAGAAGATAATGGTGGGGAAGTTCATCTGTGCCTCTGCCGCTGCCGCTCCTCAAGAGAGAACTGTGGAGGAGCCACACCAAGGGGCGGTGAGCATGAAGTACTGGGACGATTGGGCCGATCCCCAGGACATGGATGCAATGTGGTCTCATCCGGAGATCAACAAGGAATGGATCGCTGCCGGAGAGATTTTCGGCAAGAAAGTTCACATGCTGAGGGATCCAGATGGAAGGCCTTATATCACCCAGACCGAATTGCAGGTGAGAGGAATTCTTTGTTTTGGAGCTCATGCGATTCTTTCTATTTGTTTTGGCAGGCTATCGCAGAGATTCTTGTCAAGAGACACTTTAGAGGCAAGATCAGCCAAGTGAGTGTGTTCTATCGTATAGTTTTATCTTTTTTTTTCCTTCCCTTTCTCTTGACAGACCACTTGTAGGCCATGATATGCGCTGTCGCGGAGATTGAAAGCCAAAGACACCCGCTTGCGTACACTTACAATTCCAGGATCAAAGATGTGCTCTGTGGGCTCATGAAAATGCGAAAGTCTACGGTGGAATGGCTCTCAAGGTACTAAAACATGCTTGGCTAGTGATTGATTCTCGAAAGTTTGCTCAGGGAGAAGGATTATGGAGCATACGCCGTGGACTGGAAAACTTCGATGCTCTTCAAACCATTTGTTGGAGTATATTATGGTGCTGCGTACTTGAGTTGGCTATCATCGTACGAGGGCAAGTATGTGGTGCATGTAGTTTTTTCAACTCACTTTTTTTGGCACTTTGGCAGGAGGAAAACTGAGGAGTTTATTGTCCGCGCCTACCACTCTGGCCCCAAAGATGCCAACAGCAAACAGTCTTTAGCGTATTGGAATAAGTATCTAAGTGCCAAGCAAAGCCTCCCAACGAGATGGTTTGAGTTGGTATGGCATTGGAACTGCGTTGCTAAATTGATTCCGTGCTGCAGGGACATCCCAAATCCGCACAACTCTCCACCTCCTGTAGAGAAGGAAAAGCCGTCGATTGGAACGGCGAAAAAGCTTCTCTATGAAACGTCTCCAGGTCAGAAGATCAGAAGGCTGGCTACATTCAATGGCTGATTCATCAAATCTCGTAAGCAGGTCGCAAATGGATTTACTGGGAGGAAAAGACTTCGCCTGAAGATATGTCTGACATGTGGAGGCATCCCGAACTGAGAAAGGAGTGGACAAGAACCGGAGAAAAACCAGGAAAAGTACGCTTCTCGCTCGATGGCGAGATGCGACCTCACCTCAAGAAAGTTGAACTTAAGGTGGGCTGGAATTTTCTTCTTCGAATGTCGATCACGCAATGAACTTCATCACGCAGGCTGTTGCTGAAATAATTGTGGCCAAATACTTCTCCGACAGGGGAATGAGTCCGGTAAGAAGGTTCTTTACGACATTATCTTGACTCGGACTTTTTCCAGGCCATGCTTTGTACAATTGCCGAGATTAGCAGCAAGCGACTGCTTTTCGGGACCGATACAGGAATCATGCAGACACCATTTTCCACAGCTGCGTGGCTTTACACGTAAGTTCCTGTCGAAGTTTCCAATCTAAGTTTCCAGAACTTTTTTTGCTTTCCAGGAACCTTGGATACAAATCATACAAGCTAAAGTCCGCGGAGGACCTGACAAAGCCATTCGTGTCAATGTATTTCGGTGCGGCATACGTGTGCTGGCTATCAACACACGGCGGAAGGTATCCATCCTCATCTTTTTTGCGTGGCTTACCCGCGATCCAATTTTGTTCTTCCTCTTGACAGGACAAGAAGCGATCAGTTCATTGTACAATCCTATCGGGGGGGGCCACAGAAAGTCGAGAGCTCCGAAGCTGGACCCTTTTGGCTCAAGTACATTGACAATCTTCCCCAATATCTCACAAACCACAAGTAAAAATCTCTTCTTTTTACTCGCAAGACGAATTTTTAACTCGCGTCTCTCTCTCACTTTCAGGACCCGTCACGCTGCCTGCTGCATCCAGTAAGAAAAATTCACACGTTGTGTAAATTAATAGTAAAAGCAGCAAAGCAACAAAATGGGGGGTTTTTGATAAGCCGGTTTAGGGTTTTAGGGTTTAGTTTGTTTCTAGGGTTTAACGGGCAGCGATGAACGCGATCGCGCATCCGGCGAGGCGCTACGCCCTCTGGGCCTCGGTGCCGCTGTCAGGTGATCTGCATTCTCAGCTCTATCCCTCTTGGATCGCAATTTTGATCCAATTCTGGGCGATCTTTCCAGTTGGAGGGCTTTGGGCGCTTTCGTACTACCTGCGCGAGCGAGAACCAGTGCCCGATATTGTGCCCGGCGGGACGTTTGAGCCACAGCCAGGCCAGAAGCTTCCGCCAAATATGCCCAAGCTCATCACAAACGAGGACACTGGAAAATGGAGCATTTACACGAGCAGAGGCAAGAATCTCTTCACCCAGGTAAGCGATTTTCTTCGCTTCTGGGATTCATACGAGAGATTCTCTTCGACAGGGTCGGCTTGATGAAGCCGAGAAGTATCTGGTTAAAGCCATCGATCACGCAAAGAAGGGATTTGGTGAAGAGGATGCGCATGTCGCTACCAGTTTCAACAATCTCGTGAGTTTTCTCTCCTTTTTCTTTGTTTAGTTCTTGGTGGATCTATGCGGTAACTCTCTTGTGCTTTACAGGCAGAGCTCTACAGGCTAAAGAAGGAGTACAAGAAGGCGGAGCCTCTGTATATTGATGCTATAAGTCTTTTGGAACAGTCAATGGGTCCGGAACATCCAAGGTTACATGCTTTGATTTTTCTCACGTTTTAATCGTCTTCGGTTCTCTGCAGTGTGGGCTTCGCGTTACACAATCTCGGAGGGTTCTACCTCCTCCAGGACAATTTTCCAAAGGCCATTGAATATTACGAGGTTGGACGTTTTGCTATCGTTTTTACTCCTTTTATTGACCATTTTACTGACAACCAGTTTCTTCGTTTCAAAACTTTTTCAATAGCGAGCACTTAAGGTGGATTTTACTTTTTATGTTTCTAAGATCCTTTCGTGACAATTTCTCTGGTAGATCAAAGGAAGGGGCCTTGGTTTGAATCATCCTGAATACGCGAACACTATGTTTCACCTCGGCAAGGTATGAAAGCTTGACAACAATGGTCATTTGCATCCCGACGTTATGAACTTTTTGTTTCTTTTCTTACAGGCAATGCAGTTAACCGGGAAGCCAACGGAGGCTGAGACGCTTATTCGTCACTCAATACAAATTCTAGAGGTTTTGTCACTCTTTCTGTTTGCCGGTCAATCTCAATGACGTTGGAATGCACAGGACGGCGGTTATGGCCAATCACAGAGTGCCATTCGAAGAATGGTGGTTCTCGCAGAGGTGAAAATTTATCTATTCCGGAAAAAGGTCATGTTCTAAGCTCTTTAAATGCAGATTCTGACACAAACAAATCAACTCCAAGAAGCGGAAAATTTGCAGAGAAAGATCTTACACAGCGTTGAAATCACGCAGGTAGAACATCAGCCAGCTTTCTTCTTTATCGATTGTTCTTTCAGGGTCCTGAAGCTGCAAGCACTATCTATGCATTGGAAAGCTTGGCAGAGACACTTCAACTGCAAGGCAACTTCGATGAGGCAGAGGAACTGCTCAAGAGGTTGTTCTTTTGTATTTATTGACGTCGATGCCAAAAAAGTGGTAAGCAGGTGTCTCGACTTGCGGCAAAAGAGTAATAGCGGCGACCATATTCAGGTGGTAAAATTATGACTAGTATTTGACGACATTTTGGAGTTTGTGATTGCTAGATCTGGGCCACCTTGTTCAAGCTGGCATGCGTAGCGATGGGCCGTGCTAAAAGACATGAAGGCGACGGTGCTAAAGATGCAACGGCTGCGGAGTACGATAAAGCAATGACACTCCTCCAGCAAGCTATCAAGTAAACAAAGCTGTGTTTTTATAATTCTTTGCGCATGATGACTCAGTGCCTTTGACGTAGGATTGCAGAGAATAACTGGAAGCAAGTGACATCGGCTTCGGATGAAGTAAAAAGTTCTTATTTTCTCCCACTGGTAATGCTGCTGTTCCTGGTTCTCGTCTTTTCTCATTAAAATATGCCTCCCTCCAGGTACAATCGTTGAGCATGGCTGGTCTAGTCAGTGTGAAGAACCTTGAAGCGTCGGGAAATACTGCGGTAAAGCATCACTCCTCTCTGGCGACGCTAAGTTGTGTGTCCACTGTAGGATGAAGGGGTGAAATTGGGAGAAAAGGCATTGCGGCAATGCCTGGAGATTTTCAACTCCACGGTATGCTCTTTTTGGTCTCAATTGTAAGCAGTGGTCTGGTTGCAAATTCATCCAGGATGTGCCCGATGTTGGGGCGGCGAGGGAGAAGCTGAAATGCACCGAGCGGCTTGAAAAGCTTACTCGTTTGATGCACGGGAACACGGCCGAAGCCAAGCGGCTTAGAAAGGAAGCGTCTCGTCTCAAGGCTGAAGTGCCTGGCTGAAGAACAAAAGAACTGCGAGCTTGAGGTAATCCATAAGTATAGAGCTTTGTTAAAATTTGAGGGAAGAAATAACAAGCGCGCTCTCTGTCTTTTTCGCTCTCTCTGGCTTGTTTCAGATGTACTTGGTGTAATAAGGTGCCCACTCGCGCCGCGGTGGATCGGCGCGTCCTGCCACAGTGATCGAGTTTTGCGTTTCATCCTTGACAACAGATTCAACACCTGAATTTGGAGCGATTCATCAACGGAGAAGATGCTACGTACGTACTCTCTAATTTGTTGAGAACTCTTTTCAGCCTCTGTTCCCAGCCTGCAATGCACAGCAATGTTACCTTGACTTCCATCTCGCCCAGATGTTTGGAACGAGTGCTTGGTGGAGCTCTTTCCATTCTGTAGTAGCAAAAGAGTGTGCCCCCATCATCCTTCTAAAAAGATAACTCCACCAACGTTCTCGCTGGATTTCCTTTTAGTTGGTCGGTCTTTCGCAGGGCACCGACAAATCGAAAAAAGAGAATAAGAATCCACTTATTAAAGTTTATTGTTTTGAAAGGTGTTCAAGTTTCTATGGTTTGGATGACTTGCTGGAAGCAAGACCTGGAGCAAGCCGAGATGGTCCCTCAAAGGCATGCTGTAGAGAGTCTAAGTTGCCGTGCATGCTCACCAGCGCACAGATGGATCAAAGCTCCATCTCTCAGCTGATTATGCCTTCCCAAATAAGGATATCTCCCCGACTGGAGCTTTCATTTAACAAGAAGCTAAAAAAATTTGGACCATTTCTCGATTTGTGCGTGTCATCCTTGCGCAGGGGCCATGCTAATCTTCTCTGTATCGTTCCAATTTTATCTGGTGTCTCCGAAGAGACATAAGTAAGTTAGGAAGCGTGGGTATTTATATGGCTTGATCGCGAAGTGTTTTGGGCATGTGGGATAGGGCTTCTTCACAGCCCTATACCCTAACCCTAACTTAAATTTATTATAAAATGAAATTCAAAATAGTATGTACATTCTTGAGAAAATCTTTTAACAATAATCACCACAAGAACAAACCCCTTGCTCAATGTGATGAAACCGGTAAGAGTCCCTCACCACGATCTTACGACCGGCAATCTTGGAAATCACCTTAGCAGCGTCGTGACACTCTACGCAAATCCTCCGAGTATTGACAACGTTGATAGTGCTTCCCTGTGGCGAAGCAAGCACGCCGAAAGCAATGGCTAGCTTCAAGCTGTGCTCGTTCTCTTGCACACTCCCCTCTTGTCCGCCTTCTTCACACAAGGAGGATCCCCTCAAGATCATCATCTCCTCTTGCAACCTCTGGAGCTCCGCCACAATCTCCTCGATCCGAGGATGGCTCCAGTCCCCGGCCACAAACTCGTGAACTCTCCCTTTCACCTCGATCAAGCTGCTGCATTGATCTTCCTCTGGATCACTCTGCTGCTCCTCGTCCGTGTACATGTTCGATAGCAACACATACGGCGCCGACGCAAACGGGAGCGCCAGATCGCAGGCCAGCTTCGCGATCCTCTTCGCCCTGTCCGTGTGGGAATGAACCTTACACGCCCCGAGCAAGCTATTCCACGCCGCCTTGTCTGGCTCCACCGGCATCGTTCTCAGCAGCTCCTCGGCCTCCTCTAGCCACCCAGCCCGGCCAAGGAGATCGATCACACACCCATAGTGCTCCGTCACAGGAACTATCCCAAAGTCCCCGACCATGATGTGGAACTGCTCCAATCCATCGCTCACCACCCCAGCATGGCTGCAATTAAAGAGCACGCTGACGAAGGTGATTACGTTGGGCTGGATGCCCTCCAGCGCCATAGCCTTGAACACCCTCCTCGCCTCCTCGGTATGCCCGTGGTGGGCATACCCCGCCAGCATGGCCGTCCATGACACCACGTTCCGCCACGTCATGGCGTCAAACACCGTACGGGCGCTGCCCAGGTGGCCGCACTTGCCGTACATGTTGACCAGCGCGTTGGCCACGTTGGTCTCGGCCTCGAACCCGCAACCGCTGACCCGGGCGTGAGTTCTTCGCCCCTCGGCTATGGCGCCCGTGCTCGCGCAAGCCTCCAGCACGCTCAGCAGCGTTACTTCGTTGGGCTGGATCCCATCCAGATCCATGCGATGGAAGAGCTCGATCGCGTCCCTGCCTCGCCCGTGCTCCGCCAGCGCCGCGATCAACCCCGACCACGACACCACATTCCGCCGCTCCATCCGATCGAACACCGCCCTGGCCTGATCGAGGCAGCCACACTTGCCCAGCGCGCTCACCAGCGCCGATCCCACCAGCAAATCGCCCTCCAGCCCCAGCCGGATCGCGTCCTCCTGGAGGAGCTTCGTGTCCCTGGCCGATCGGAGGCTCAGCGCCGCCCCCAGCGCGTGGACCAGCGTGATCTTGGTCGGCTCGAGCCTCTCCTCGCCGATCATCCGCCGGTACGTCTCCAGCGCCTCGTCGCTGCCGCCCAGCTGCGAGTGGGCCGCGATCATGCTGTTCCACGACACCACGTCCTTGGAATCGATCCTCTCGAACGCCGCGCGGGCGAGATCCAAGCGCCGGCACTTGGAGTACATGTTGACGAGAGCGTTCCCCACGAACACCTGCGTGTCGAATCCATCCGCCGCGACCCTGTCGTGGATGCTCTTCCCTTGCTCGAGATCCCGGAGCCCCGAGCACGAGCACAGCGCGTGGATGTAG